TCACTTCTGTGAGCTCTGTAGTTCTCTGAAAGTATTTATTCCATTATGAATACAGCACTGCTTTAAAGAAATGAAATATTGATTCCATTCCCTGATGGGGCATTATCTGTATTTTGCTTATGGAAAACTCAAGCACAGAGAACTGAAGTGGCCCAGACTCACAGAGCTGGAAACTGAAACAAAAAATCCTCACACTGACTTGACCCACATTATTTATTCCATTACCAATCTGAAAATAACTACCCAATGATATTTTTTGAAATTTGGAGTTGAATTTTTTTAATAGGAATATGTGGTATCTGATTTTGTGTGTGTAATCAAAAATGGGTCAGTTTCTGCTGAACTATTGAACTGAGAAAAGTAGAGTTTAAAAGAGAAGAAAGGTCATGCTGATGTTATCAGGTCAGTGGTGGAAAAGATTGTGTCATAGGGAGCTTCTTACTGGCAGCAGTCCTGTCTGGTTGTGCTGAAATGTCAAATAAGTTGTTGTTTGTTTGGGATCTGAGGACAGAAGTGACGATGTTTTGAGGTTTTATTTAAAAAATAAGTATTCTTTGTTGCTAGAGGGCTGTGTGAAAGTACAAGACTACTTAGTAAGTTCCCAACCTCCATGATAGTTGGTCTGGTTTTATTCTTCATGCCCCAACATCAGGATTTAGTCTGATATGAAAATCTTGTCTGTCATTTTACAAAGCAAAAACATGGAAAGAAATGCTCCTGCCAGTTACAGAGAAGAGTCTGTCATTTTACAAAGCAAAAACCCCCCAGAATGGAAAGAAATGCTCCTGCCAGTTACAGAGAAGCAAAATGAAAGTGTGATGGTGCCTGAGTACTGCAAAGGTTGAAGAAAAAACCCCAATAGAAGGTGAACTTAAAAACCCAACCAAAATTAAGTAGATTTAGTGGTTTCTAAACTCCAGTGGTTTCTGGAGCACTGACTCACCACGTCTGAATGTCTGGGCTTGCCAGAATCCTGCACTGAAATGTGACCCTGCTGGCTTGGGCCATATATGGGAAATTTCCCTGTGTGACAAAGGTGGGAATCCAGGAGATGTCCCTGGCTGAAGCTTTCCTTACCTGCTGTCCTCTCAGTCTTTGTGAAAATGCATTCTCTGGGTTGGATCCCACTGGGGCTCCACGTTCAGCACTTTGATCCCATGAATTGGGTGGGTTAAGTGAGCTCTGCTATCAAAGGATGCTCATGGTGCCTCTGGTGGTGCTGCACACAGGTGATTAAAGGCAAAGAACTTAAATGTTCTGCCATAATTGATGTGGCAATAAGGAAGAATTATCTTTTTTTTGCATCATGGATCATCAGTGATTTAGTTCCCAGAGACCAATGTTTACTTGAATGGATTGTGAGCCCCTGTGTGAGCTCTTGCAGAATCTCCTCAGGATGTGCCCCTCAACTCAGCAACCAAAACCACGGGGCCAGATGGCTGTTGTGTTTGTTCATGTTTGTGTTTGTATAAAGGCCAGATTTCAGGCTGCTTTGTTTTGGATTTCTGAGTCCTTAATGTTCTGCAGAAATTGAGGCTGGAGGGAGAGAGGCACAGCAGTGAAACAAGGATGGTGGTGAAGGAACCCATGGAGAACCTTCCAGCTCTAGAAACAAACACTGCAGGTGGTTGGAAATGGACTTTTCCACAACATGTGTCCCATGAATGCTGTAGAGAGTTCATGCTTGTCCTGCTGGCACACACTGGGTGCTAAGGCTTGAACTTTCCCTCAGTTTCCAAGCTCTTCTCCAGGGCTGCGTGTAAGCAATTCTGAATTTCAAATGCTTCCGTCCTAAATGGAGATTGGCACAAGGATAATATTTATGGAAATGCTTTAAGAGAACAACTTCAAAGTCCCTCTCAAAGTTCCACCTGTATTAACTTCCTTCGATGAGAGTGGGGTATTTTCCCTTGTCCACAGATAAGGTGACTAAACCATAAACAAACTCACTTTTTTATTGTGCTATCTTTTGTTATCTCAGGAACAAACCAGTCCTCAGGTTTGTATTCAACATCCTGGACCTTTTTTTAACTGCTGACTAATTTCTAAGTATTTCTGCAGCCTGGGAGGGCAGAACTTCCCACATTGTGTCAGATGTGACGTGTGAGCTGATCTTTGTACGTGTGTGCCGAAGGAGAAGATCTGCAGCTGCATTTTCTTCTATTTCAGCACCTAGTTTGGATTTGAATTCAGATTAATTTGGAATAGGCATAGCTATGAAATGAGTCTGCAGTGTTTGTACTTGTTATGATGTGCCTCAGTTATATACATCCAGATCTGTTTCAGTCCAGCCAAATAAAAATTATCTTTTTTCAGGCTCCAGCTAAATAGGTTAGAGGTTGCCTGCCAGTCTGCACAGAGCTGTGGTGCATCCAGTCCTGCTGCACGTACACTTTTCCACTTGTAGAAATTCCATGGAATTTAGGTTCATTTTCTACCAGCAGCTCCTGGAATAAGGTTGGGAGAAAAGTGGGTTTGGCATGTGAGGAATTTTGAGACTATCTTTTGATTTTTGAGGGCTGAAATTTAGAAGTTTGCTGGTTAAAAATAAACCCATAGCTTGGCATGACAAATAATTTCCAGGATTTCCAACTGGTGTTGTAATTTATCAGCAATCACTCTCAGTTCTGGATGCCTGAGACACAGTGATAGCCCAGAGTCTGTGGAGCTTTAGGGCCAATTGTAATTCTAGTTTCAGGGAAACTTAATGTAATTCTGGCTAGTCTTGTCCAATCCCAAATTTGAGGAGCTGTCTCTGGGATAATGCACCTCTCTCCTCTCCTTTCAACTGCCCCCATATGCTTGTACTTCATTCCAAAGCTAAACTGTTGTGAATATGTAATTTATGCAGTTGTCATAATGAAACAAGATGTCTAATTGTGCCAGGGATTCCAGTGGAAATAGCTTGATCTCTTTTTACCTGAAGTAGGGAGATGTGATGAAAATACACATTTATATCCTTTCTCCTCCCCTTTTTTCTTCAGCTCCCTGAATTCCCCCATTTAGGAGAAGGGTATCATTACACCATCTGACAGTGGTTACCTTCTCCCATGGTGAAATCACCTCCCAGAGAGGGGATTCCTGGCTGTTCCCTGGTGAAACTGTGGATCTGCTCCTGTTTGTTTGCAATACCCAAACACTGAAGTCACTGGGTCCACAGCAGTGTTTTGCAGCACAGCAGAAACTTATTTTCAGCAAGGTTCTATTCTGGGCATTGTAAAATGTGCTGAGAGAGGGAGGTATTTGTAGTGTGGAGAGGAGGAGGAGGAGAACTCCCTGAAAAGCTCCTGCTGTGCCTTTGGAGCCTCTTCCTGACTTCCAGGTGGGCACAGATCCAGGAAACCTCCCCCAGCTGTTGCCACGTGGCTTTCATGGAAGAGTGGTTGAGGTGGGTTTTGAGAAGAAATCTGGATAGGGTGGACCTTTCCTGGAGTAGGGCTCATTAGGGAAGCTGCACAGTTATTTAAATGTTCAGGTTTTCATTGGGAATTTATTGCTGTCTGTTGGAATTACAGTTTTAGCCTTGACCTGTGCAGCTGAATCCAAGAAAACCTGTGAGGAAAGGAATGAATGGAGAGAAAAATCCATCATGGAGCTTCTTCTCCATAATGAAAAGGACTGGTTGAGCTGGGATGAGATAGTCCAGGATTCCTGCTGACATTTTGGTGAAGAGATTCCACTTTCAGTGACACTTTTGGGTGTGAGACTAAGGATAGAGACACATCCAGCCATGCAGGATTCTGGGAATGGTAACAAAACAGTACTCTGGAGTCTTGCTTCTCCAGAGTGTCCTTTCTTCTCCTCCTGTCTTGGTTCATGCTATAATTACTGGCTTAATTCAGCCTTGCTGATGAATATCAAAGCAGTGTGAAAGAGCACAGCAGCTTTTTGAATTGTTTTTCAGTGTAACAGGAGAGCGGAAGGGAGATAAGCCCGAGGTCACAGTGTGTCCCTTGGGAACAGGTATGGGACTAAGGAGTTGAGATGGACTGGGTAAGAAAAATAATTTTCTAAAATCACATGATTTCATTAATCACTTTGTTTTGGTTTTTGTTAACTTGCTGGGAGAATGTCACTGACTTGCAAAAGAAAAAGACAGTTGACTTTCCATCTTGGCAGATGTCTCGAGCCCTAATTACAGTTAATAGCAAAAAGAACTTTTTATCTAAATGTTTTTCAATATATAAAATTCTACTTTGGGTCAAAATAAACAGTTTATATTAAAATAATACTCACTCCAGGTATCCAGTTCCTTACAAAACAGGATTTCCAAGCTTCTCATGTTAAAGTGGGGGGAATTTGGTGTTACTTGTGCTACAGAGGAGAGGGAGAGTGTGTGAGTTGAGTTTGCAATTCCAGGTGCAAAGCTAGGAGTCAGGTGAGAAGGTGTCTGTTTTGGAATTAGCTTTCTCTCAATGCTCCATAAATCCCACAGCTTTCTAAAACTGTTTTCTCCATTTCAAATGGGAATTGCAGCTCTCTAGTTTCAAAGAGGTGCTTGAAGCTGAGATCCTTTGTGCTTGTAACAGTGCTGGTGGGATTTCAGGTGGAGATCTGTCTGTAAACCTCCTGAACATCATCAAGAGTTGCTGGCAGTACTGATAAACACTGGTACAGCTGCAAAATGCTCTTGGAATACTTGCTGGATTTTTGTCATGTATATAAGAACTCGTAATTTTCCTCTCAGCTAAGCCAATTTTCCAAGGGCTTACCTGGCAAATGGTCTGCTCAGTATAAACCAGGCTATAGCAGCATAAAAGGGGCTTTGTCTGCACGATGGTTTCCTCTGTACCACGGAGTGGGAAGTGATTTTTGGTGCTTCTCTGGGCTCAGCAGCAGCTGAAGGCGCTGGCGTTTCAGCAGAGCCGTGTGTGGCTGTGCTGAACGCCTGTGGCCCCATTCCAGCCTTTTCCTGCTCTGCCTTGCACCCTGCCCCAGCGGGCTGCCCTGTTTACTCTCTGCTCTGTGGTAAATGGATGTCACTTCCTTCATTAAAATGCTGGTGCGTGGCCAGGTTCCCTTCCTTTGGGCTCGCACGCTCGCAGCAGCGGCGCTGCTGAATCCAGCTGTGTGCCACACTCCAGGATCTGCTCCTGCCTGCATCACTGGGATCTGCTGAGCCCACACACACAGGAGGCTTTTGGAGGCATCTCCAGGGTGGAGAAGCACAGGTGCAGCTGTGTTGAAGAGGGGCTGAAGATGGATTGTTGCTGGTGGGCTCAGTCCCTTCCAGCCAGGGACTGTGTCCGTCCCGTGGGGAAGGTGTAGGCAGCGTCTGGAATGGGGTGCCAGTGCCAGCCTGCTCTGGCCAGCCTCTGGACATGAGGATGTGGCTGCTGTTCAAGGGCATCCCCTGATGTGCCCGCAGTACAGGCACTCCTGGATGCACAGGATCACAACCAAAGGGACACAGAAGTCCTGGACACCCTGCTCTGTGTGGACTGACCTGAGCTCTCTGCCTTTGTAGCTGACCAGGGCTTCACCTGAAGATTTTTAAACTGACATCAGAATTGCTGATCAGACTGGTGAGAAATTATTTGTCTTTGTTGCATGATGTTAGATGATTAGAGATGGGAAATGTCTCCAGGCTTTTGGAAGGCACAGAAGAAAATGGAAAAGTGTTTCTTTCCTCCTTCCATAACACAATTTCTTGTGCCGCGCCCACCTGGACACTTCTGTTTCTAGCTGTGATCCAGTGCTGGTATTTATTTACTCATTTGTTTCAAGGTGTGCATGCTGTCACCTTGGGCAGGTGAAGTAGTACCTTTACTCATAAACATATTTTTTCCTATCCCTATATAAAAATCTGACAGTTTCAGTCCAGTTATTTTATCCAGTAAATTAGATGTACATTCCTTGTGACAGGTTTGTGTCCCATCTCTTCCTTTTCTCCTGCTCTGTCGTGGTTGAGACACCATGTCTGTAAATGTCATGTTCAGACTGGCAGCCTGCTTCCTTCCCTTGTCCCTTCTGGAAGTGGCTCATTTGCTGACTTTTCCAGCTGTCCCAACATATGGCTGCTCCCATTTATCATAATTCAGGTCTGTGCCTGGAACAAAGGCTGATAAAAATAATACTTTGTGCATAAGTGGCATTTGAGCAGATTATTCTATAGCTCTGTTATCAAGCAAATACTGTTTTTTTGACCTTGCTATGAATTCGGTTTGGAAGTGGTAGGTCATTAGTGAAACTAATTTTAGCAAGGCATTTCTTATCAGTTCAGGTTTGTTGAAATAAATAAAAAAGTAGTAAATTGTAACAATGAGCAATTGTGCAACACTATTAATGGAGCACCATGGTGATTAACTCATTAAATGCTCCAGCCATTTCAAACAGCATTCATCAAAGTGAGATCTGATCCATTTTGCAGGGACTACAGCAGGGATTAATAACAAAAATAGTAATTTTTAAAAAGACCTATCAATACATGAGTATTTTAAAGCCACACTGCCTTTTTCTGGCCTCCTGAACAATTGCCTTGGTCTTCAAGCTACTGGAAGTGACAGGAACTAATGATTTTGTGCTCAGTGTTATCCCAGGTTGGTGTGCTGTGTTGGGAGTTGTCAGTGTTGGTGTAGAGCATCTGTAGCTGCTCACTGAGGTCCTGAAGGCTGAGGGAGGTTCTGAATGGGAAGGAAGGAGGGTGTCTCATGGATGGGGGGCAGAGAGGAGCTGGCTGGTTCAGGGAGCTGATGGGGAAGCAGCTCACTGTGGTGAGCACAGGAGGTGTGAGGCAGCTCTTGGGCTGGTGGGCAAGCAGCACTGCAGGGAAGCTGGCCCTGGCAGAGCTGCTCTCTTGCATCTCCCTCCCTTTTTGGCACCCAGCTCCATCTGCAGCAGCCCCGAGGGTCATCAGCCCTGCTGCTCCAGTGGTTAAAGGCCTCTCAGGAGCAGAACTACTTGCTGCTGTGGTTTCTTCTCGTGTGGGAGTAGAATCAGCTGCTTCTGGGAGCTCATTTCCTTTTGATCCCTCGATTCAAGTGTCTCCTTGGTGCTGCTGCATTCCAGCTGCTGAATTCCTGAGCAGTCATGAAAAGGAGCCAGACCCAGTCCTCGAGAGCTTTATTATACAGAGCTGGAAGCTCATTGATTCTGAGATGTTCCTTTGCTTGCTCTAGTCTCTTGTTGTTTGTACCCTTAGGAAAATCAAGGCAGATTTTATATTCAAACATAAACCACAGTTTCCCTCTGCAGCCACAGCCTAGCCTTTGATGAAATCCAAACAGCAAGTGTAATAAATCCTGTGTGGAGGCTGTGATCCCTGGTACTCCAGCTAGCAAGGTTATGGCAGTGATACTGCATATGGAGTCAGAACCTGAGTTCAAACACTTTTTTAAATGAAGATGGAAAGTAGAAGAACCTAAGCCTTCAACTATGTATGGTAGGAAAACTTTGGTATCACTGGTATTTCCTTCAGAATTAAAGTAATACAGACCTTGTGGTGCTGTGTAGAACGTGTTAATGAACTGGTGATGAAATTAATTTCACTCTCCTGTTTAAATCCAGTCAAATGGCATGCACAGCTTCATACTGAAAAAATAAATAATCAAATCAATAAAAGCAGTCCAGCAGAGCATGGTGCAGTGCTGGCACCACTTTGTCCATGGCAAGCATTCTCCCTGCCATTTATTGGATTTCTTCTGGCTTTCCTTAAAGCAGCTGAGGAAAGAAGATGAAACAGCCCCTTCCCAGGGTGCTGATTGCCATGTGGGTGGATGTGTTTGCAGGTCCAGGATAGACTGTTTGATCTTGTGTCTCCACCCTTGATGAAACTCCCTCTCCCTTTGCCCTGGCAGATGCTCCAAGCACAACATGCACTTAGGATTTAGGGCAGGTGGTTTTTGGCTGCCAGCAGACACTGTTGGGTGCCTGCCATGGAGCTTCCAGTTTGCCCAGCCCAGCTCAGCTGGGTTTGTGTGTGGCTCAAGCAGTTGTGGCTCCATGAGGCTGTAGAGGCACCTTGTCCAAGGATAATGCTGCTATCAGTAGTGCCTGTAGTGTCAGCTGTGCCAGTAAGTCCACATCTTTTATTCAAGATGTTCCTGAAATCCATGCTGTCATTAAGTTTTCTAAGCTGTCACACTGTTATTAGCCAAGTAAGTATTTTCCCAACCCTGGAGCACAACACAGAAGTAGCTCTTTCCACTGGGTGTTCTTTTATCTGGGCATTCATTTGTCACTTTGGTGTAGCTGTGGAGCTCCTTGGGTGCAGAACAGCAGCTCCTTTGCAGGGAACTGACAGGATCTGTATAGAGCAGGACTCTCTGGTTCTGACCTTCAGACTGCCACATCTGTTCCATCCATCCATCCATCCATCCATCCATCCATCCATCCATCCAGGAGATGAGCAGTTCCTGGACTGAGCTGACCACGTACCTCCAGATGGGTAAGAGAATAAATAAGGGAATAATTTTGCTGTAGCAAACATTGTAGAGTGATCAAGGAAATTGTCATCCTGAAATTCCACTGAGGCATTCTGCTTGTAACTTGGAGTCCTCTGTCAGTGGCAGTGCTCATTTCCTTGGCTCTAAAGCTGATCCTGTCCAGAACAATGGAAAATCCCTCTTGAAGCAGCTGCTGAATATTACCTGGATTTCTTGCTGCTGTCTCAGTGCAGCTGTAGGCAGCTACAGAGGTGTTTTACAGGTGTGCTCCTTTCTATACCTTTGAAAAAATGTTATGGATCAGAGGACAGTCCTGGTTGTTGTTTGTTTATTCTATGCTTTTGTAGTTGAGCAGGATTAAGGCTCTTCTAAAGCAACATCTGAGCTTTTTGTTGGCCTTTTAATTCCTGGCAATCACAGAGCTACAACCCCAGCTGAATGCTGAGCTCTTGTCTTATTTTATCCCAGTTTGTGCACTGCCTTGTGTTTTTCTTCCCAGTGTTTGACATGTTGCAATGTTCCAGAGTGAATTAGTAGGCTGTCTTTTTCTAGGAAAACAAAGTTTTTGGGGGCAGGCAGTAGCATTTGTGTATTCTGTTATCGTGGGTGGCCTTCAGCTTGCAGGGGTCCTTGAAACAGGAAGGGAGCTGGAACTCTGGATGCAGTTTTCCACTGCTGTGGAGGCTGTGAATGCTTCTTGGACTGTGCAGCTTTGTGTTGTTTAGATTTGTGATTCCTAGGAACAAATTAAACCTCCCAAAGAACGTGATTTCAAGTAGAAATTCTGTATTTTTGCAAAAGAAAAGCTCTGTTAACTTCTGAGTGGGACAGAGAGCTTGGAAATGAACATGCAGAGAGAAAAAGGGTAATTGTTCCTTTTATCTGTGCCATCTGAAGTGCGTGTTTGATTGCAGGGCAAAGCTAATAGAGATGGATGATAGATTATTTCTGTTCATGCAGTGCTTTCCTCCCTGTATTTATTGGGATCTCATTGCCAGCCTAAGTGCAATCCACACTATTTATTGAGATCTGGTGTCATTCCCACTGCAGCAGTGAGCACATCAGCCCCACCAGGAATCCATGGTGCCAGTGTGTAGGTTTGTATTTAAACTCTGCAATGTGCTGAGCCTGCAGGGAGGGCTCCTGGCTGAGCTCCCACTGGGGGCTTTGAAAGGCCCAGGACAGCAGGGACTGACCAGCCAAATTCAGCCAGGTTCTGAAAGGATCAAAGATGCCACTGAAGCAGCAGATACTGGAACAGCCCCAGAGAGCAAAAGCTCCCCAATTCAAGTACATCAGCCCCAAAGTTTCAGCACAGCTTAAAAAAAAGAACATATTATACTCAATAACCTTTAGGATTCCCTTCCCAGCCCGGTTCCCTTGGGAATCTGCAGTTACTGAGTAACAAGCAATGAATTGGCTGTACAGCTGAGGGATGTTTTATTTCCAGAAGTTTATAAAATCAAGCAGTTGCTGAACACTATCAGTGAGAGAGCTGATTTTTAAGACATAAAAGAAACAGCTCAGGAACTCCCATGTGAGAGCAGAAATGCAGAGGAGGCAATTTGTATTCAGTTTACCCGTAAGTGATGACACATGGTGTGTGCTCCAGAAACTGAATGCCCAGATGAATTCAGATTTCTTTGTAAACTCCCAAAAGCAAGTTTATAGCAGTGTATTTCTGGAATATTGCAGCAGAGGTGGTCTGAGAAGACTTTGGAATTTTGCACTGGACTGTGTTAGGATTTTTGGTAAGTGTGTGTATGTGTGCATACATATAAAATTTGACTTGAAAAAATAAACAAGTGATTTTGTGTCTCAGCTGCAGTTGTTTTCCTAAGCAAGTTACCAAAGCCAGTATTTGATTTACTTACATTACTGACATTGACCTGCTGTGAGATGATTCAGCCTTGTAATGCTGTAAATTCAGCTGGGAACTGCAGTGTGTGAAATCAGTGGCTCGGCTGTCCTTGCTTTTATTTTATCTTTTTGGATTTGTAGCTGTAAATCTGTAGAGGGATTTAGGATAAAGCTGACAAATGGCCATCTACGATCCTGCTGCTGATTTTATTTAACTGTTCTGTTCCATATAATTTGAGCTTTTGTGTTCTTTTCCTGATGCATTATTACATCCTGATAAGTATTACAGCTCATGTGAAATAGAAACAGCCTGTTAAAGCAAACTCAGAATCTGATACAGCCAAGTATCTTATCTTCATTGTAGTCTCTTAACTCCATGAAATATCAGTAATAAAGTTCTCTTGATCTCTGTTTGTCCCTTCTCACCAAAGCTGCATCCTGCTGGACTGGGCATGTGGGCTTTGTGTCAGAGGAAGGATCCAAACTGACAAACGTGCTGTTAGAGATGCCCCGTGGATGGGCACTGAGCTGCATCCCTGCTCTGTGTCCCTGGGCTGGCAGTGTCCCTGCCCTCTGACAGTGTTTTCCCTGGCACCCCACGGGTGGGCACTGCTCTGTGTCCCTGGGCTGGCAGTGTCCCTGCCCTCTGACAGTGTTTTCCCTGGCACCCCTCGGGTGGGCACTGAGCTGTGTCCCTGCCCTCTGACAGTGTTTTCCCTGGCAGGCACTATGTGGGCGAGCTGCTGTAACTGGTTCTGTGTGGACGGCTCCCCCGAGGAGATGCAGCCGCCGCCGGCAGCCCAGGCCTACTCCAACCCTGGCTACAGCTCCTTCCCCTCTCCCACGGCCTCTGAGCACAGCTGCAAAGCCTGTGGGAGGCACTTCGACAGCTCCTCCAGCAAGGTGAGTGTGAGCCTGCCCTGCCAGGGCCAGCTGCCTTCAGTTAGTCACAGACACACATTTTATACACATGTCCTCAGATCTGCACATCCCACATGGCAGAGGACAGCTCACCTTGGCTCTGCATCTTCAGTCATTCTGCCTCAATTAATGTGACTGGAAATCCTTCAGCAGAGTTCCCCAATGAGAAGGCCAAATTGCTGATAATCACTTAAAGAAGCATTAACTTGAGCATAAGTTATTAAATTTCTTATTTAAAAGCACTAATGTCCTTTAAAAATAAATATTGTGGCAAGAAGTTTAATAATGTTTGTGCTTTCAGTAAAGGGAAATCTTCCTGCCTGTTTGCCAAACAATTGTTGCTCAAAGTATAAGCCAGTGAAGTTTTTTGAGGGTGTGTATAGAACTCTTGAGCAAAAATAGCCCCATAAGAAACCCAGATCAATTTTATGTTACTTGTAAACTTGATTTGTGGGTGTATAAATGCCAAAATAATTGGTACCACAAGACTTAATTCGACAGCAACCCTGCCTGGGGCATTATTTGGACTTGGTGGGTCCTTTAATGCTGCTTGAAAATGATCCAGTGAGGAAAATTGTTCTGTGGCCACACTCTGTGGCTTAAGAAGTGTCTGATCTATAGCTACTGAACTTAAGTATGTGAGAAATTAAAAATAATGGTGAATTCTGGCCACAGCCCTTTTACATTATATGGGAAAGTTCATAAATTGGTTTTCCTTGCACTTTTTATTTATGCATGAGGACGCACATCAGAGGAATGGTGAGTCTTGGCAGAGCTGCTGCTTTCCAGTCCCAGGGCAGCAGGGATGTGCATTTCTGCACTGAGAAGTGCAGTTGCTTCAGGAACCAAACTCTGGTGATGTTCTGTGGGGTGTGTGAGTGTGCTGCTGGCTCAGCTGCAGTGGGGCCCTCTCTGCTCCTGACTCTGTAATGTCTGACATGCTCCTCACTGAGCCACAAATACTTGTGCAGGGAGTTACCCTGGACCCAGCACTTGCTGTTGGGCATGGTTGCAAATAGTGGATGGAGAGAATTCTGAAATGAAACCATTTCAGGCAGCTGTGCCCCAGCATCTCCTAAATACCTGTTCTGTTCAGGCTGCCCTTAGAGCAGTGTCTTGTACAGAGCCAGCAGTGGCTCCAGCTGAGCTGACTCACACAGGAGAGGGAATGCTCAGGTGCACAAATTGTAGAGGAGCTGCTGAAGCTGTTGAAAACATTCCTGCCCTCAGCAGCTTCCCCCTTTTCCTGTGGGATCTGTTCCATATAATTTGAGCTTTTGTGTTCTCTACCTGTGCTCGTGTCCAGCTGCTCCTGCTCCAGGCTGTCAGGGAAATTGAAGTTTATATTCTGTATTCCACCTTCCAATTGGAGTTTATATTCTGTATTCCACCTTGCTGCTGCCCAGCTCCTGAGCAGTGATCTCTGGGGGTGACTGCAGCCCCGTGCTGCAGGTGGGAATGCTGGAGCAGCTGCAGGAGGGGCTGCAGAGCTCACCCATCAGCTCTGAGGGAGTGAAAACACCCCTTAGAACACACTGCTGTGTTTGTGAGCCATGGCAATCCCTCAGTGCTGTTGCTATGGAGGGAGCAGTGTAGGAAATCTCACAGTGCTGCAAGGCCAGCATGGAAAACTGCATTCTCTCCTGGGAGAGGAGCACCTTTGAACTCCAGTGTCCAGTTAATGTTTATTCTAAAATACAGGGGATTAAAATTAATTCCTTCTGTGCTGGTGACCATAAGGATAGCCTAGATTGCTTTAAAAAAGCCCAAACCCAACAAACCAACAAACCCCCCCACATAAAGCCTTTCAGGGCTGTCTGACCATGCTGACTGTGCTGTCAGTGAGCAGCACACAGATGTGGCCTGACCTTTCAGGAAAGTTTTAATGTGCAACAACATTTGAAACCAATCCTTCTGAAGAACTGCCTTGAATTAATGCCCTTTCAGTCAGAGTTCAGTGAAGCTGTGAGAGCTGCTTGATGCTGAGATGTAGCCAAAATGTCCATGTTTAAACACTTGCTGCTCAGATACAGGCTGGGGAGGTTGTTTTTCTCTCTGAAGATAAATCCTGGTGCTGAGCTGCTAAATCAGAGACATGCCTGGCTTTATTTCACTTCCCAAATGTATCCTTTGATAACAGAGGTAGGATTGCTGTTAATTGCAAGAACATGTTTGATGGAACAGCCCTTGTGCTGTTTGCTTTGTGATACCTCACAGTGGGAGTGCTCAAGTCGGGGTTTTGGGGCTGGTGGAAGGTCCTTGGCAGTCCAGGGGGTCCCTTTGGAGCCAGTTTGGGAACCTGCAGGCCATGGGGAGGCTTCCCCTGCCAGAGAAAATGGGGCTGCTTTGGGGTTTTGGGTTGTTTTGTGCAGTTTTTGTGTTGTTGGGGTTTTTAAATCTCATTTCATCTGATTTCTCCCATGTCAGAGGTGGGGGATTCAGAGGACAAGTGTTACCAACAGGGTTATTTTCCACTTCTCTGCCTTTGTGCATTTGTTTTGTTCCCCTGCTCTAGGCACACACAGCCATCAGTTCCTGTCTCTACCCTGAAAATTCCCCAAGGAACAGGATTGCTCTTGCAATCATAGGGTCACAAAAAGTCAATTACATATTAATTTTTTTATGCTGATGAAGTTAAGGAAAACTCCTCCAAACTGGATGTTCTGTGGAAATTGCCCTTCCTGCCTTGCTTTGTGATTGGTGAAAGTTGCTTTTCCTTGGCAGGCCCCCAAACAGCAGCTTTGAGATAAGGTTTCTCTCTGTGGTAGAAATGTTAATGTCTTAAAATGCTTGAGCAGGAAGTTGGGATTCTTTCCAGTAAGTGTCACTGGGAGTGTGGTGCAGGCTCTAAATGAGAGGCCTGGAGGTGCTAACTGGGGAGCAGGGAGGGTTTCAGGCTGAAAAGGGCATCAGAAAGAGCTTTTGTAAGCAAGCAGTGTATTTACACCCTGTAAAACATCTGCTTTCTTTCAGCTGGGAAGACAGAGATGTTCTTCAATCACTAGAGCAGTTCATAAACCAGTTTTTTGTCTTTGAGTTTGTATTTATTACTTCTCCAACTCACCTGTGTGTTTTTCCTTGCACAGCTCTGAAGGATCAGGATGTCAGGATTTCACAGAGGTGCTTGGCTCCTCTGAGACTGTGAATTGGCATTTTTAACAGCAGTGAAACCACTTCTTTCTTCCCTCAGGATTTTAACAGGCACATATATGGCTGTTCTGCTGCTATTCCTCTTGGAAAATGCAGAATTTGCCTTTCCAAAGGGTTGAGCAGTCAAGTTTCTGCAGAAGTCAGCATGGACTGTGAGTGCTTGGAACTTGTGAAAATCAAGCCCTGAGTGACAAGATCAGAACCAGTATCAAAACAGAATTCAATCTGTAAAGTTTTTAACTGTCTGGGGCATAATATTTCCAAAACTTCCAACACTTTCTGTCTAGCACTAACTGGTATAAAGTGTGTGTATTGTTTTCAAAATAAGCTATTTTTGTGTAAATAAATGTCAGATTCTTTGATGTCTGTGAGACCTTGCTGTTCCCTGTCCCTCTTCTGGTGAAAGATTCATTCTGTGATTGCAGCAAAATGGAGGGAGGAACATCATTCATAGCAGGTGCTTATGAAAGAGAAATGTTTTTAAGTAGTTCCTTCAGTGTTGGAGCTTCTTAATGCTCAGAGCAATGTGCACAGCTAGCTGGAGTTCACAGTGTGCACAGCTAGCTGGAGCTCACAGTGTGCACAGCTAGCTGGAGTTCACAGTGTGCACAGCTAGCTGGAGTTCACTCACAAGTCTGCTGCCTCAATCTCCTGATTCCCTCTGGCTTAAACTGCATGAGCAGGTGCAGAAAATTCCTGTCGTGTGAGGGAATCTTGTCAGGATCTCACGTTTCATTCTGGGTAAATGGAGTGGGAATGGGGCTTCTCTAGGACTCGGTGGTTGCTCAGGGATCAATCCTTTTCCTCCTCTAGGAGCATGAGTAACCACTTGGCACTTTTTCATGGGTTGCAGGGTTTTGGTTGTGCTTCAGGAGCAGCTGCTGCTTCCTTCGGCTGCGCTGCCGTGTGCTGCTGGCACAGGGCACGGGCTGCCTCTGACTCCTTCCCCTCTCTCTCCCAGCACATCTGCTTGGACTGCAAGAAGAACTTCTGCACATCCTGCTCAAACCAGCCCGAGGGTGGGCCCCTGCTCTGCCACCTCTGCCAGCGCTTCCGAGCCACGGCCTTCCAGCGGGAGGAGCTGATCAAGATGAAGGTGAAGGATCTGCGAGATTACTTGGCCCTCCATGAGATTTCCACAGAGTTCTGTCGTGAAAAGGAGGACCTGGTATTCCTGATCCTTGGCCAGCAGCCTGCAATTACCCAGGAAGATCAGATAAGAACAAACACATTTAATAGCAGTGCTCGTGAACAGCAGGACTTTGTGAGTCACCCCCCAACCAACCTGGCCTCTCCTACCTCACACGATGAGTCCTCAGTGTCTGCAGATCCCATCTCAAGTTCAGAAGCTCAGGAACACCAACAGGTACAATCTCTGGCCAGAACCATCTTTTGCAAACTCATTCATCTCTGTTTTTGGATTAACTACCAGGATGTTGCATGTGGTTTTGCTGTGTAAAGTTGTGACTTGCCATCACTAACTGTGATGTGCTGTTCATTATGGAATTGAATTTGCTGGGCAGTGCTGAATATCTCGAGCATTCACTCTCAGAACATCATCAATGCTCTGGGATGTGTTTTCTCTGGTGCTCTGGTCCACACTTCCATTGCCACAAGATGCTCCTGTGACTGCTCCCTTTGGTACTTGCTGATGGCTTCTGGCTCGTGTTAGTGGGTGTAATTAAATAGTTGATACTGTTCTTGAATTCCTGTGCCAGATAACAAGGACAGTGTCTAAAGCAGCTTTGGAGCTGGAGCTGATCAGAGGTGATGGGGGCTGGGTGAGGTTTTTGGTGTCTCCTGCACTCAGATCAATAGAAGACAAACCCTGAGTCTGTTGCCAAGTCTTGGTTTATGATGAACCTGCAGTCCTGATGAACCTCAGCAGGGGCATTTGAGTTTAATTATTTTTTATTGACCTTGCTTTGTTTGTCTTTCTGCTCTCTGCTAAGGAAAGTTTACTCAGTGTTTGACATCTGCTCCTTGTCCTGTTACAAAGTTAATGGGTGTATTCAGTTCCCTGTGGGCCAGAGCTGTGAAAATGTGTGTACCTTCTGCTTCCTCAGCAGGTTTATCTAGTTCAAAATAGGAGGGAGTTCTCCTGGGAGAATGTTTTTTACAAATCATCAAAAGGCATTTTCATTCCCTGGTTTTCTGGATATTGCCATTCCAGTTTTTACCAGCTCTGCACTACTCCATGATACATTTCAGCTTCTTGTCTTGACTTGCATGATGTGGTGCTGCAGTTCAGGCTCTTTGATCCTGATTGTTACTCTTGGGCTCTGTAAATATTAACAAGTCCCCACTTGGGTAAATGGGATGGTAACATTACAGTCCCTTTGTCAGTAGGAAAGCAGAGGGAGCAGTGGCTGCTGGGGTGAGTCAGCTGAACTTACACTGCTCATTTGATCAAGTGTTCAAAGCACCTGCCCAGCTTTTCTCCTCCTGTCACTGCTGCTCCCTCACTGGGTGTCTCCTGTTTGCCCTCTCCAGACACCTGAGCAGGTGTTTGCCTGGTTACTGTGAAGATCTGAGCTGTTAGAGGAGGGTTCTGCAGAGCCTTGCACCGGGAGCTCTGACATCACACACAGCACAGTGTGACCCTCAGGGAAGGACTGCACACAGGCATTGCAAATTTGGTGTATAAGTTTGGTCTCCTCCTGATCCAGCCTGGAGTTCTGTACTGGGGCTTTAAAGCTTCAGCTTCAGCAAGTGTTACTTTGTGTGAGTGCTGCACAGGCAAAAACTCTGAGTGTGCCTGGCTTGTGCCTTGTCCTGCCTGTGTCCTTCCAGAGGTCAGGGGCTGCAGTGACACTGTCCTGGAGTTGATTTTCCTCCAGAAACACACAACTGGTGAAAGCTTCATTTCCTCTTCCAGGCCAATGGTCATGTGCCTCCGAGCCCAGCCTGTGGAACAGCAGCTGAGAATGCAGCAGAAGAAGCAGCAGCAGAGGATGAGATACAGGTTTGTGTGTCCTGGAGGTGGATGGCAGGGAAGATGGAAGGGAATACCAGGTTTCCTGGGCTGGATTTGCTACCAGACATGATCAGTAACTGAGAATGACCAAACCAAATCAACCCCTTCTGTGGCATCATCTTGTCCTCCACATACAGAAAGAACTGGTGTCACTTGGGCACCATGGCAGAAATGATTAAGTTCTATCTCAAGATTTGTGTTTCTGGTAGATGAATTCAGAGTAGCCACTTCTCTACATCCAGCCTGAGTTCCTGCTCACACACGTGCTGGAGTTGATTGGTATCATAGTGCAGGGTGCTGAGGGCATGACTGACTCCCTGTGTGCTCCCCCAGTCCAGTGACTCCGAGGATAACCTGGTGCTGGGCAGGAAGGCCTCCCTGTCTGACCTGACGAGCGTCGGGGACATCAACGCGCTCTCCGTGCGGCAGCTCAAGGAGATCCTCGCCCGCAACTTCGTCAACTACAAAGGCTGCTGTGAGAAGTGGGAGCTGCTCGAGAGGGTCACGCGCCTCTACAGAGAGAAGGACCTTCAGCATCTAGGTGAGAGACTTGGCAAACGTGGGCCTGTTCCTGGGTTTAGCCTTTTTGCAGACAGCTGACAAGGAAACAGAACTTTGCTGATGTTTCTGCTGCAGCAGAGCGAGGAGGAAGGGGGGAGTGTTTGTGCAGAGTGAAAGGAACTGAGCTGTGCTCACCACTCCTTGTTTGAGGAGAGTTGTGGGAGCCCTGCAGCAGCAGCACGAGGGCTGTGCATCCTTCACACTTGGTGTTGTGCATGCCCCCAGCAGATCCAACTGGCACTGCCTCACCCTCACAGCAGCTGGTGGGTGGCTGTACATGAGTGCATGTGCTGAGCTCTTATCTCTTGGCTTGTGGTACCTGGCAAAGGCAGCAGGGAAATGCCCTGCCCGGGCAGGAAACTGCCAAAGAACAGCTGGGAGATTCAAGGCTTGTGCTCACAGCAGTGGCTCCCAGGGCTGCCCAGCTGTGCACAGTTGGGGTTTCACTCTCTACCACCAGAGTGTTCCTGGGCCTGCTCAGGTGGCTGTGAGGGGACACAGGTGTGTAGAGAATATGTCTGGCTTGGTTTTCCAGGTGCCAGTTTGCACTTTGAGGGTATTTCTTAAAATAACCACATATTTGTAAATTACATACAAGAGAAACTTACTTTAACACTTTGATTTCATACATTGGTTTCTCAGTGCTGTCCAAGGTAGTGTTGTTTTCTTAAACTCGTCTCTCTAGGCTTTGTCTTCTACGGATGTTCCAAGATTTAAGACAGCAGTTTTGGGGTTATATTCTTTCATTACCTTGTGCTTTTGATGCAGTGTATCCTTTTCTTTCACTCTCTCTGTGTCTGTTCAGTCACTTGGTGATTGTGTAACAGCAGAGGAACTGGCACAAGGGGCTGCTGCAGGCGCAGCACTGGGAAGCCAAACTCTGCACACATTCCAAGGCTGTCTTAAAAATTGAGACATCCCTTTGGATCCCTTATCTCTGGGAAGCTTTAACTGTTCTGTAAGCTCAGTATCAGAGAAAGTTCTTGTCAGTTGTTGAACCTGTCCTGCTCAGAGCCCAGCCTGAACCTCCCATGGTGATCAGCACAAAGCAGTTTTGGTTTAGCAACTCCCTCAGGTTTTCAGCCCCTCTCTGGTAACACTTCTCTCCCAGCTTTTCACATTCTCACCAAATCTCTCTCTTCTTCTGTTGCAGTTTTGGACACTGACGATCAAACTGGTGAGTGAGATCCTCAATCATGGAGTTGTTTATTGGGAAAAACCTTCCAAGATCCAGTCCAACCAGCACTGCCAAGGCCCCCTCTAAACCATGTCCCCAAATGCCACATCTGCATGGCTTTTGCCTCCCCCCAGGGTTGTTTATGCCACCACTGCCCTGAGCAGCCTGTTACAGAGCTTGACAACCCCTTTGAAAATGGATATCAGGAAAAATTTCTGTCTAAACCTCCCTGTCACAACTTCAGGTAATTTCCTCTTGTGTTGTTATCTGGGAAGAGAGACCCCTGTTGCTTCATTTGCCTGATCTCAGTGGTATTTGTTTCCATCTCACAGAAATCACTGTGTAAAAGCTAAAACTTCTGCTCCTTGCCAGCTGATGGAGCAGCCACAAGCGCAATTCCTTTGCCCACCTTGTCCCTCAGGGAATCCCTTCAGCAGAGCCACCTGGGATCGCACAAACCCGCCACCCTTCCCTTTGTCTGACCCCTCCGTGCTCTGCTGTCCCCTCAGGTGCTGCTGGGCCCCCCAGCAGCGAGGACAACCTGTGCAGGATCTGCATGGACGCTGCCATCGACTGCGTGCTGCTGGAGTGCGGGCACATGGTGACGTGCACCAAGTGCGGCAAGCGCATGAGCGAGTGCCCCATCTGCCGCCAGTACGTCATCAGGGCCGTGCACGTCTTCAGGACATAGAGCTGCCTCTGGCCTCAGGGCTGCTGTGCCTTACAGCCTCGTGCTCTTGGGGAAAGGGCCAACATCCCTGCCAACAGCTACCTTGATTAGTGTGGACCCTGCTGCAAGAGGGAAAGAGGAAGCCTGGGGAAAGTGCTCTGCTCAAGCCGTGCCCGGCTCTGCTCATCGCAGCATCGTGCTTTACACCACAGTGCCTGGACTCCTTGGAGCTCATTGCCAGCAATCATTAACCACCTCCATCCTAGGATCGTTTGAGGACAGATGGATGCCCAGCTTTCCACCAGGAAGATCAGCTCCAGAGGCTTTGTATTTCCCTCTGAATAATAAAGTGAACTGGGGTCTCAAAAAGTGTCCTTTGTTTTGCTGCTCAGGCTCTGCCCAGCAACAACTTGATTTTCGAAGATTAAAATCTCACTGTGCTTGTTAATTTAACTTTTTTTTAAATTTAATGTAAAATTGTTGTGCTTGCAGGACAGGCAGACCCTCCCTGCTTTCCCTAATTCCAGCCTAGTGCAATTGTGGAAAAATGTGTAATTTTGTATCAAGGTTGTCTTTGTATTATTGAAAACTGTCGGGGAGGGAGGCTGGGAAGGCTCAGCCTTGCCCTGTCTGCTGGGTTTTTGTTTCTGTGCCAGAGGGAGGTTTCTGGTTTGTTTTTGTCGACTTTGACTTCACAGCACGTGCCAGGGGTGGGGCTCAGACTGAACTGCCCCCACTTGACCATGGAGCTGTAAATCCACGGCTTGAGTCTTGCCCAGGCTTTAGTGAGGAACCACAGAGCTGCATAGTGAGGACTGCATTGCTACACAATCATATTTAAGTACAGGTGACTTTTTCTTTTTTTAGAAGGGACTAATGGAAGAAAGCCTTTGTCTCCCTTGGCTCCATGAGCAATCTCCACTGCAGATCAGCTTCCCCCATCCTCCCCAGGGCTGTTTCACAGTTCTGTTACCTTGCACTGCTTACCAAAAGCAGTTTTGTCCTTTCTGCTGGTGAGGGTGGGGAGAGGCTGTGGCCTGATCCCTGACAGCTCTCCTGGCACTGTGCTCAGCTGGAGGAGACTTGCTAGAGGAGTAGTCTGGCAGTTCCTGCTGGAGGTGACTAACTGGTGTATTTTCCCCTCAGGGTCCATCAGCAGGGCACTGTGCCCTCCCTGCAGGGCAGCTGAGGCTGTCCTGGCTGCTCTGGGCCAGGGCTGGCTCTGTGCTCCAGCCTGGCTGCCAGCAGGGACCGGCACAAAGGCAGAGGGGCTCTGCAGTGACACCCTCAGCTCCTGGGGCACTGAAGTGCAGCTGAGGGACAGCAGCAGAGCTCCTGGGCAGTGGCAGTGCTGGCAGCAGCACACGGACCTGCTGTGCTCTGCACAGGGGCAGTTCCAGCAGCAGAGCTCCTGTGCAGTGGCAGCAGCACACGGACCTGCTGTGCTCTGCACAGGGGCAGTTCCAGCAGCAGCAGCTCAGCTGCAGGGTCTTTGCTCTGGGAGCTGCAGCCAAAAGAGCACCTGGGATGAGAAATCCATGGCTCAGGAGGCAGCAGGAGGGAGCCAGGAATCTCTCACTGAGCTGATCTCAGAATTCCACAAAACTGCAGCAGCTGCTGCTGACTGAACTCAGCATTCTGAGTCCTACCTCTGTCCCAGGTCAGGCTGTTCTTTAATCTGAAGGTTGAACAGATCCAGCAGGAGAACAAAGTGAACAAGTCAGTGCATCCTGACAGAGAAAGGGCAGGTAAGAAGTGACTCTGTTTGCTCTGGAGAGAGCACTGGGACCTGGAGGAGCTGCAGGAATACACCATGTGCTGAACAGCCTCTTTGAGGAAATCCACTGTGAAAATTCATGTCGTATTTTTCAGTAAACTCAGGGCTGGGGGAATGTAGCAGGAAGATGATTCCCCTATGGACAGATGTGCTTTCCTTGTAGAGGGTAGGCTTATTTTCTACAGCAGTTAAATCAAGCTGCAGGTAATGCCTGAAATTTTAGGGATGAGAAGATCCAACCACCCTGAATTCCAAAATGTGCTTTGTGAAGGGAGGACTCTTCTTGTTTCCCTTGTAAAAATGGATTCTCTACTTATGGATATGAGTGAGTTATTTTTAAAGGAAAATCAAAACCTGGAGGAAACTGATTAATGATCCAAAGGAATATAATGTTCTGAACTAATAAAGTAAATGGAAATATTTATGTGCTTTATGTACACTGTACATTGTTTAAAGATTTTAAAACTTAATATTCTACTTGAAAGGGCATGTTATTCACTATTAAATCCTCTGGTACTACGACAGTTCAACTTACTAGTTTTGGTACAGAAGTTTGGTTTATAATTTTATAATAAAGTTGAATTGTGATTTAGTTAACTTTGTTTCTGAATCTGTTACAAGCAGAGATCCTACAGCTACTGCTGACCCTCAGCCAGAAATTGGGATCCCAGCTGGTGGAATGCTCTTGGTGGGAGGGGTACAGAAGAGGTGGAGGTGGAAAAAAATTACCTGACGACACAAATGACCTTGGCACCACAGCCAAGAGTCCCATGGAGCTGCTGCTCTGCTCTCCTGAACAGGAAGAGAAGAACCTTTGGAAATTAAGTCCTGACAGCAAAGGAGAAGCTGCTTCAGTTTTATTTATCTATAAAAATACCCAAACTTTAAAAACCCAAGGAGACTAATCCAGCACCTGGATAAGGATGGTGGTCTACGGTGTGGGCAGGAAAATGGGATTCAGCAGTGACATTTCATCAGAGAACTTTTTAAATTCACTCCACAGGGCTGCTCTGGATCTCTGTAACTACTTCTGAGGGCACTTCCAGCCTACCCACCCCTGCATGGCATCTCCCTTCCGCCACCTCCCTGTCCCCAGCTGCTGTGTGCCAGCACTGCCCCTGTGCTAGCACGGTGCCACCAGCCTGCGCTTCCGGATGCACTCCCAGATCCACCTGGGGGTCACCCGCTGCGCCCCGGGGTGCTCAGCAGTGTCCCCAAGCACGTGGGTGGCCGAGGCCGTGTCCAGCTCTGCCACCAGGTCCCCGTCGAAGGCGATGAAGTAGCGGCGGATCCGCTCAAAGTCCTTCACAGAGGGAGCCAGGTAGAGCCTCACCCCCGTGAAAATGTCCAGCAGTGGCAGCTGGGGGGAAGGAGAAACAGCTTGGGCAAAGCATTCCTTGGAATAGAGGGGAGCGGGCACTCCTGGGAATGGAGGGGAACGGGCACTCCTTGGAATGGAGGGGAACGGGCACTCCTGGGAATGGAGGGGAACGGGCAACAGCTGCCCCAGCCTCCCCACCCTGCTGTGGCCCCTGTCCTGCCCCCCTGGCTGTACCTTCTTCCCGTTGTCCTCCATCTCAGATGCTTTTCTCTTCTCCCCTCGTTTCTCCTCGGATTTTTCAGGGGATCCAGTGACTCCTTTGCTGTCTAAAAACAAGAATTTGACTCATGCATGTGCTCTGTCCAGATACTGCCTGTGTATTATGGTGGGGGAAAGAGTAAAGAGCAGAAGTGAAAAGTTTCCTCCCCTCTTTCTGGAAAATCCATGAACTACTCTCACTAGTGAGACACATTTTTCTATTGGAAATGGTGTGGGGCAGCCTCCTGCCCCATTTCCAGGCTGCTGCTGCCCCCTGCCCTCCATGCTGTCACCACTCTGTCCTCTGTGAAGCTGCTCAGCAACCTGCTTCATGTTCCAGCTCAATTCACCTGGGAACCACCTCCAGCCACGTGTCCCTTTATACACGTGAATTCCATCCAAATCAAATTAAACACTGGCTCATGGCCAACAACCTCACACCAAAGGGCTGTGACCTGCAGGAACGGGAGCAGTGAACACCAACCTGAACAGCACCATCAGAGCTGTTCCATCCCTCTTTTCCCAGGACATCTCAGAGCTGTGGCTACTCAATTCATACAGGGCCAAACCAAGGATCTGAACAGCTTGGCCCATTATCCTTGAGATCCATCTGAAAGGTGGGATCATCAAGCCTCTCACAGAAGCCAAGGGCCCAGAGCCAGCTTGTCCCAAGCACAGAGGACACAGCCCCAGGCTCCCTCCTGAAAGCAGCATCAGCTTACCTTCTGCCTTCTGGGCTTTTGCAGGTGACTTGCTTGGGGGACTCTTAATACTGCTGTGAGGTGTGGAAGACCTGGAATTCCCATCGTTCTCTCCACTGCTGCCAGCTGTGGACTCATCTTCCTCCCCAGCTGTAACACTGAAATCAGCCTTCTCCTTGGAGAGCTGGTACAGCTCCTGCCCAGAGAAACAGCACTCATCATGTCTGACACTGCAGTGTTTGCTCAAAAGCCTTTTCTTCCTGCACCCCTCTGCACCTCTGTCCCAGCTCCCTGCATTCCACCCCCCTCCTCCATCAAGGGAAGCCACAGAGAGGAGCAAAAGCCACATCCACACCATCTGCTCCAGAGCAGAGCCTGCAGGACGAGCAGTGCCCAGTGCTCACTGTGGGAAGGGCCCATCTGCAGAGGGATTTGTTCCCCTCTCCTCCCCACAGGGATCCTGGCAGGCCCTGGGGCTGCATCACTCCTGCTTTCCATGGCACAGCAGCCCTGGCAGCTGCTGCCAGCCCCAAACTGCAGCAGCTCCCCTGAGCACAGAGCTCCCCAAGGCTGGCACTGGGGTGGCTGCAGCCTGGGGGTTCTGGCCAGTGCCACTCGGCCCCTGTGCCCCAGGATACCCACAGGCACTTCCCAAATGCCTCTCCCAGTCTCAGCAAGTGATGGGAAACTGAATGAGCATGGAGAGAGCAAAGGTCTGCCCAAGGAGGTGGTGGAGTCCTTGGACGTGTTTAAAAAAAGCCTGGATGTGGCAGTGCCATGGTTCAGTTGCTGAGGTGGTGTTAGGTCATAGGTTGGGCTTGATGATCTCATAAGGTCTTTTCCAACAGAGTTCACTCTGTGATCACCTCTGAGGAAAGCAGTTCCTCACTCTGCCACAAGAGCTGATGGAACCAACTGCCCACAGAGACTTCTCTGACAGGCCACAGCAACACAACAGCTCCAGGGACTGAGAGGCCTCCAGCACAACAGCCCAGCCCGGGCCTGGCACGAAGGGAAAACGGAAGGTGCCACGACAGGCAGCGGGTGCCACGACAGGCAGCGGGTGCCATCTTTTCCAACAGAGTTCACTCTGTGATCACCTCTGAGGAAAGCAGTTCCTCACTCTGCCACAAGAGCTGATGGAACCAACTGCCCACAGAGACTTCTCTGACAGGGCACAGCAACACAACAGCTCCAGGGACTGAGAGGCCTCCAGCACAACAGCCCAGCCTGGGCCTGGCACGAAGGGAAAATGGGAGGTGCCACGACAGGCAGCGGGTGCCACGACAGGCAGCGGGTGCCACGACAGGCAGCGGGTGCCTCCCGTGCAGGCTGTGATGAGCCTGAAGCACAGCCTGGTGCCAGAAGCTGCAGGCCCGTGCTGACCCACCTTGAGCTGCTGCAGGTTGGTGGCTGTCTGCCAGTCCTTGTCGTCGCGGATGCGCGTGCAGCGCGGGAAGCGGATGGAGATCCCGTCCGCGGTGTGCGCCTCGGCCTTGGAGAACTCGGCCCCCGTGATCTCCCACACCGGGGCTTTCTGAACACAGCAGGGAAGCCACGTCACACCCCTGGGCTCCCCCAAGAGCCAGCTCAGTGTCCCACCCCAATCACCCTCCACCCCAGCACAGCTCCATACACACAGTGACCGTGCTGTCACCCTCGTTGTTAAACCCGGCTTTCTCTCTAAGCCGGAGACCCTTCACTGTTGCCACATTTTCTTCATAGAGAAAAGCAAGGCACAATTCTTCCCAAGAATATTTCTGGGTTCCACATTCTCTGAATCTCAGAGAAAGGGAAAACACAATTCTTATCACTTGCTGTGCCTGTGTTGTGCCAAAGCAGAATGCAATATGGAGACTGTTTATCCAGAGTGAGGATGTGTTGTTTCCTTGGCCTATCAGGGCTGGGTGTGTGTGTGTATGTGTGTGTGTCAGGACTGTCACAAGACAGCCACAAGAGAATCAGAGCTGAGTGCAGCTCTGTGCAGAGTGAGTGCATGGCAGATTCAGTTTAGATGAAATGTATATAGTACAGTATAATAAAATAATTAATTAGCCTTCTGATAAGTTGGAGTCAGATGCACCATTCTCTCTCCCTCACCAATGTCAGAGTCGCCTTTGATTTACAATACTTCACTAACACAAAATGCCAATTTCTAAGTAACACCTTGTCCTTCAGGCATACAGAGCATACTGACATTCCCTACAACAACAGCAACTTCTGGGTTGCAGTTGTGTTTCAACCCTTTAAAGTCAGATTTCTCATATCTCAAATTTAAAGCAAGCTCACTTCTGGAAGGGATTTAATGCACAAGAATATTTCCCAAAACTGCTGCAGGTGTGATTTCTTCATGAAGCTCTTAGCCTCAAATGCACCTGCAAGATTGAGAGATAAAAACTTGTGCTTAATTTCCCATTCCAAGTATGAAGATTTATTTTGTAACAGAGACAACTTCTAAGTTGTCCTTCTAAAGGATTTATAGAAGACTGCAGAGTAAGGGCTGGGAAATGTTAAATGTGAAGTGATTATGAGAGCACTTACCTTTGGATCTGGGACAATGAAGTCTGGGTAGTAGATTTTGTTAATTTTTAGCCACCTTGGAATTTTACTAGGATCCTATTAATTAAAAGCACAAAATTCAAATCATTCACACATATCATTATATATAAACCTAATTATGCAACAGAAACTGCTGAAACACAAGCTAGCCTAGAAGTAGATCAGAGGTATAACAATGCCCTGGCATGGATGGAACTTGCACTGATCTGCAGCCTGATCTGGAAAATCACAAATATTGCCTGAAACACAGCCCTCAGCTCCTGTCATTCTGTGTGTGAAACAAGAACAGTTGCTCCAATTGTGATTAATGGAAAACCACTCCTTTTCTTTAAGATTCTACAACCTTGATGCAAATGGCCTTCAGGATATCAAGGCAATATTAAAATTTATCTGTTTATTTGTCCAGTCTTGAAAAGCAAGATAAATCACTGGCAGAAATCTTAACTCCAACCCCAGGTTATGGAGCCATGGGACCAGAGCCTGACCAAGCACTTCCCTCCCACAGCCCCATCTAGTGACTGCCTTTGCCAATCACAACGTGCCCAAAAATCCAGATAAAAAATTGGGATCTTCCCAACAAAACCTCCTCCTAACAGGAAACAGATGGTGCCTGGCTTCCCACTCAGTGTCTGGGTACAGATCCCAGGCAGTGCCTGCTCCAGGAGCTGGCTGCTCTGACACCTCCCTTGTGTCAAGTGGTTGATGAGCTTTAACTCTGATCCATTCCTGGCAGGGCATTTCCACCCTGCAGTGCAGCAGCACCTCAAGGGCAGCTGAGCCCTTGGCTGAGCATCCCTTGGCTCCCCTCTCACCTTGCTGATCTTCACCATGTCCAGCTCTGTCTGCAGACGTGCCAGAGTGGCGTCATCGTGGCCACCAGAGCACTTGGTCACTGTGCACCACTTCTCAGTCTTGGGGTCGTAGCAGCCCATGAGGAAGATGGACATCATCCCACCTGCACAGGGACAGCAGGGCTCACACCTTGCACAGGACAAGGCACAGCTCTTCTGAGCCAAAACCCTTTTGTGTCTTTGGGAGACAAAGGGGCCTGGGCTTGTGATGGTTGCAGGGCCACTCAGAAAGCTGAACAGAGCCTCTGCACTGTGCAACAGCCCAGCCCAACACCTGCAGCTCTGCTGAGCCAACCAGCCCACAGCAAAGCCACAGCAAGGACATGATGGGCTGCAGCAGGTAACCACTGCTCCAGCCACCCTCCTTCTGGAGGCCTGGAATGGGAAAACCTTGGGAGTTCCTTCTGTACAGACCCGACTCCAGACCTACCTTTACTGCCTTGTCCATAGAAAGCCCCCAGCACCACCAGGTCAGCAGTGTCAGCCATTGCCCCCTCGTTGAGATAATCCTTCTTCACCTTCAGCCAGTGGCGTTTCCCTGGCTCATAATTACCCTGTGCAAAGAAGGCAGAGCCCCCTCAGAGAGATCCCCTGCTGGGCACAGCTCCTCAGACAGCCCTGGCCCTTATCCAGCTCAGCAGCTCCTGAGCACAGCAGGAGGAGCAGCTTGGAGTGCGTGTCAGCACTGAGAGGAACCCAGATATGTTTCTGGAATGCTCAATGTGTGATTCTGTCTCAGAGCTGACTCTGCTGTCATTCCCAAATTCCCAGCTGACACCAGTACAGAGTGAAAGGGAGCTTGCCTTGATATCCTTCAGCACCAGCCCTTCCAGCCCCTCGCGGATGACCCGGGTGATCATGTCTGCCAGATCTGAAGCTTTCTGCAAAGGAGAGGGATCATGGTTAGCTCAGGACTGGAAAAAGGGCTGAGCTCTTCAGGCTTTGTCTTTGGAGCACTAAACCCAAAGCAGCTGCAGAGAGAGGAAGAGGTACTTTCACAACAGTTTTCCAAAGAGGATCCTGTACATGCTCTCTTTGCTGCACACCCAGTGACTAAGCTGGGAACATGTTCCCAGAAGAGAAGGTTATAAATGCCCCTCAGAGACATGGCTGCCCCACTGGCTGTGCCCCAGTATGTCCCAGGTCAGACTTGCTCAGCCAGCAGTGCCTGCTTCCTTCTCCACCCAACTGCCTTGGGACCTAAGAACCACCTTCTGCCCAAAATATCCAAGCATTCTCCACCAAAGCCAAGGTACCACAGAAATCAGCAGCAATGGGGAAAAATAATGGGACATCAGGCTTGTGCATAATCAAAGGAAAATCCCAGCATGCTGCTGCCTAAATGCAGATTTTAGCAGCCAAGATGTCTCAAGGCTGTGTGGCACTTGAAGCTGCCAGTTTGGGAAGAGGCAGTCTGGCTCCCTTCAATCAGGCTGCAGTCACAGCTCTGCACTGCACAGCACACACTGAGTGACAGCAGAATTTAACTCCTCCTAACAGGGTCGGAGTGACAATGGCTACAAAATCATTAACAAGCCAGAAAACCTGAGGTATTCAAGTCAAGATTATACTGAAGGGGTTGGGGCCAGGAGAAGATGGGAATACAATGCTGGCTCAAGAAGCCTTGCACACAGAGCAGAAGGAGAACCATTTTGCCAGGGTGAATGTGCAGAGTTAATCATATAAAAAAGCCAAGTGCTGGAGGAGCAGGGTTAGGGTTGTAGGAGCACACTGCACTCACTGTGACATGTTTCATCTCTGAGAACAGGATCCTGTTGGGGATCTCCACCATGTTGTCGTGGAGGAACTTGCGCCGTTCACACAGGGGCCTAGAGCAGGGCATGGACAGTGAGGGACAAGCAGCAAAACCAACAGGAACTCTGAGAAAAGCTGTTAAAGGCATTAACACTCATCCTAGAGAGCTCCACAGAGGACAACTAGCTCTTACTTTCCTCCAGGAAGTGACAGGGTGGAAATTCCAATGTTAACAGTGTGTTTAGAGGATGTGAGAGCAGCAGCTGAGATGCAGCTAATCCCAGCGTTTTGGAGAGCAAGAGGAGCTCCACAGAAAACTCCTTGGCACAGCAAGGTCCCGCCAACACTGCCCTGATTTCCCAGTGAGTGGCCAGTCTGACAGCCCAGGTGAACTGGTCTGCCTGCATTAGTGGGGTTTCCCAGGCCAGGTTTTGCAGCTCATCCCAGGAAACCAGCCCAGCCACTCTCCCCTGGCAGCCACACCTGTCCATCAGGCTGATGTCATTGAAGTAGATGCAGTCAAACACAAAGAGGCAAACGTTGGCATCCTGGAAAGCAGCTTTCTGAAATACAATTAACAGGATTCTGCAGTCACAGCAAACAGTTTTAGCAAAGCAATAAAAGCATGGATTTTTATCTCTGTAATATTTAAGGTATCATAAGCTCATGCCTCTTCTAAAAGAATCATTCTGAGAATTCAGATTTACACTGAATGTGTCCAAGCACGAGCTGAGAACATAAAAAATGTTCGTTTCCTAGGAATGGAAAATAATGCTAAAAATATTAATGGTTTTGGGCAATGCAACATCTGTCACTACTGCTGCAAAAAAACCCACCACATTTCTACACACAGCAGATTAATGGCTACTTTTAACTTAAGCACTTATAGTTTAATTTTCATTTTCCTGTCCTCTTCCTCACCCCCATTCAGTCTAGACACAAGCACTACATAACATTTGCATGGAATAATCACTGCATCCCTGTGGTCCCCCAGGCTGCCACACATTGCTCAAGCCATGGGAAACAATGACACAATTGTAAGGTTGTCCAAATATTTTTTTTAGTATTACTGAAATTAAGTTCTGTTAATGTTCTGCCAGGGATCAGGTTAATATCAAATCTACTGTATTAGAGCAGTAGCTTTTCAATATCAGCCTTCTCAATAATCTTATTTTTTTTCCCCAGATGCTCTAACAAGCACCAGAGCTCTGAAATTATCCTATGATAACAGATTGTGTTTAAGTCAGCAGTGTAACAGCCTCCAAACACAAAAACCATTTGTTAATATCAAATCTACTGTATTAGAGCAGTAGCTTTTCAATATCAGCCTTCTCAATAATCTTATTTTTTTTTCCCCAGATGCTCTAACAAGCACCAGAGCTCTGAAATTATCCTATGATAACAGATTGTGTTTAAGTCAGCAGTGTAACAGCCTCCAAACACAAAAACCATTTTTATTTTTTTTTTACCTTGTGCACACCAAGAGTCCCAAAAGGAAGTGGCTTGCCAGTTTTATTGTCAATCAGGAGAACTTCTGAATCCAGAATCATACTTTGCCCACCAGGGAAAGCCTGGGGGATGAAATCCTTAAAATGGGCTACCTTGGGAAAAGAAAAGAAAAAAAAAAAAGAAAAATAACTAGCTGAAGAGGATTGAGGGATTCAGTCCAATGCAGGTGTTTTTCCACAAGTATATGAGGCATATCTGCACTTCTATGGTACCCACAGCAATCTACAAACAGAAAAAATGAGGCTTTAATAAACAGAACCAAGTCACCCAACTGGCAGCAAGGCTCCCAAAATGCAGTGCAAAGAGAGGATTCTACAGCAGACAGATGACATTTAATTCCAAGCTCTTAATGCACACCAGAATTAAATTATTAGTTTCAAGTGCTGCTTTTCCACATTCTACACACCTACATAAATTAGGAATGAGAATGAATCCTCCTTGCCTACAGAAGGAAACTACTGGGAATGGAGAGGACACACGGGGGTGAGGCAGTGCTTACTTTGTGGGGCAGCACAGGCTTGAGGCTCCTGCTGAAGTAGCTGAAGTGGTCGCCGTTCTTGTGCACCTGCACGCGCTCGCCGTCGTACTTGATCTCGGCGTACATGCCGTTGGGACACTTCTTCATGGCGTACTCGATGGACTTGCAGGCCTCAGCCTGGGGACAGGGGCCAGAGCCAGGTGACACGTGGAACATAAAGCTACTCTTACCTAAGCTCATGAATGAGCTGCAATGAATCCCCTTGTAGAGCTTTTTGTCCAGAACCTCTGTTAGCGAGTTCAAGTTTGTCTTAACTATTCACTTAGTAATATCTGCATATGGCCAGATAATTACAGCTTTTCAGTGCTCATCCCCTCCAAGTGCTTTAAAATGTGCACTGTGCCTTCTGTAGGAGTGTGCTCAGCCCAGAAGTAAATATTTAACTCTGCTTTGTTCACACAAAAAGCCAGACTTATTTGAATCTCTAATCCACTGGAAAGCTTACACTCTTTCCAGAGGAAGGATCAACTTCTGCAATGACAGCAAACAAATACAAAAGACTGAGAGCAAGGCAAGGTTTTAGCCTCGCAGTGGCACTAAAGGTGCAGGTACTGAGTATATCAAATACTTGGCCTGGTGGTAGGAGATGCTTTAAACACTCTGAGCCCTGCAGAGCCAGCCCACACTGCACACCACTGCCCTGGCTCCTGACCCTCCCAGCTGGGGGACAAACAACCCTGAGCCCTGCAGAGCCAGCCCACACTGCACTGCCCTGGCTCCTGACCCTCCCAGCTGGGAGTCTCTGTCCATGCCTGGCTGTCAGGAGGGCCCAACCTACCAGCATGGGCTGCACGGGGGTCATAAGCGAGGCCTGCACACTCAGGGTCCTCTTGAGCCCTGGCACCTTCTCAGCCTCCTGCTGGTTCTGCAGCACGCGCTCCACCACGTCCTGCAGGTTCCGCGAGGCCTTGAACGCCTCGTAGGCGTTGGGATCCAGAGCATCCAACCTGCAAGGCATGGAGAGGGGGGAACATGGATCAGCCTCAGGGCTGCTGCTGCCTCAGGAAATGAGCATTTCTGGGTTCCTGTCACTTACACATGCTTGGCTCCAGCATTCATTTTCAAGTCATGCTTAATCAGCCTGATGATGCACTTCAGGTCGTTGCCCGTACACCTGAAGAAGAGAAGATTCAGCAAAGGTGTGAACTGAACTTTCCAGCTGAAAAGAAAATCATCCAGGACTCTTTAAAAAAAGGCTCCCCCTTTGCAGAGGGTTTAACCAATCATGTTAATAGTGACACCTCAGAGACACAAGGGAATACCCAAAAAGCTTTCCAGCATCTTTATGCCAACATTAACTCTGCCTCAGTGTTGATGCATCTTCTAAAATTTACTTAACTAACGCATCAAGAGTAACTGATCGGAAAATCCTCAGCCTCAGATCAACACAAACTGAGCCAGACCAAAAATCTTTGTCTAAATTACTTGAAGCCTTTACCCAACATGCTTAAGAACAGCAACTTAATTAACAGCTAAGCACCATTAGGGTGTCACTGCAAATCACTTGTTTGATTGAAGTGTCCTGACAGGCAGGGACAAGTTCTCTCGCATGAACAAGAGCCACAAATGCTCTCCACTGCTGTCAAGGTGTCTCAGTCACATCACTAACAGCAGCTTACAGATGCTAATTAAGTTCAGTCTCGGGGCTCATGATTCATTTTTCACCCATTCCAGCTTGTAGAGAACCACCCCAGTGTTTGGGCAAACCTCCAGAGGCTGATTCCTTCCCTCACCTGCGGCTGATCTGCTGCAGGACACTCTGCTGGTCATCCTCCTTGGTGAGCTTGGACAGCTGGATGAGGAACTCATCGACCTCCTGGATGGTCAGCAGGCTCTTGGGTGCTGGAGGACAGGTCTTGCTCTGCTCGAAGAAGATCCGGATGGTCTCAGAAACATCTCCCTGTCTCCAAAAACAAAACCAGGGTGTGGATGAGAGGCATGGCCAGAGAATGGGGGTGCCACTGGGGATTCTGCATGGTTCCAGTGAGGATAAAGGATAGGAGTGATGCTGGGATTGCACAAAGAAATTGGAATCAAACACTTAAGGAAGCTGCCACGACACATAAAGCTGCTCAGCTGTTTAATTTGCCCAGAAAGGTAATTAAGAGTACCAGCATAATCTCATGGCTCTATTTTTCACTGCTGCAGCAGCACAGACCCTTTATTTCCTCAGGATGAATCCACTTGTAAATCCAAGGATGTGGGACAGACTAGTGATGTCACTAGAAGGCAGTACACAGCAAGGCAATGAACAGAGACGAAAAAATTACCTTTATTATCTAATTCAGCCCTTTCGTGCACCTTGCAGTGAATCACAGGGTGCACAGTCAATCACCAGCTCCTGTGCACAGGGACTCAATGCACAACTGAGCACCTTCAATTGTAGCAGCTTAATTGTATTAACCAACTGCAGCTGCCAGTGACAGGTCTGTTAATTGAATCCCAGGTTTTGATATGTGATGGTACAAAAAGAGTAACAGAACTCAGTTCTGGAGGAACGTGCAAGGCAAAGGAGTTTAGACAAACAGATGCAGCCCACCTTGCCTAGATAATTTTAGTCTTGCTTTCTAGAGCTTTGCCAGGTGAATTCTTATCCTGCTTTCCATTCAAGCATGATTTTCTACAGGTTCCAGATGGCAGAAAATGCTATGAAAACTGCTAAAGCTAAGGAAAACCAAAATAAATCACCAGCTCCCATTCTAACAGTCAAGCTAAGGAGAAGCAAACCTAAACCATTACAGAATTTCCATAAACAAAGAGCTGATCAGCAGAAATTGAGAGAGCTGCTGTCTGCACTCACCTGCTCCAGGTCCCGGACCATTTCTTCCTGGTTGCAGTTAAAAATCCTGCTGAACAGCTTTACAATCTGCTTATCATTCAAGTTGTAAACTATTTTAATGACACCTGGTAACAGCAACTTAATGGTCAGATATACATCACCATGAAAACCATCTGGAAAAAAAAAAGGACATTATAACAGTGAGGATTTATTTTCGTGTGCAGGCTCTGGTTGGTCGTGTTCATTTGCATAATCCTGGGGATAAAACCCACAGTTGGGGCTTGGAATTCGTAGGGAAAATAGCCAAAATTTGCCTCTAAGTTGGGCATCGACAACACCCGAGTGAGACATTTTTGTCTGAATTTGGTATTTGTAGAGTTCACTTTCCAAAAGCGAAGCTCAGAAATCACCAGAGCACAAGGCTGGGACCACACAACAATCAGACTGAATTTCCCCTTTCCTCTGAAGCTGACCCTGAGGGAGCTGAGCACTCCCAGCTGGAGCCATACCTCCTGCAGAGCCCTTCCTGAGGAAGTCCTGGATGATCTGAGTTTTCACGTTGTAGCTGGGCTTGTCGGCCACCATGGCGCAGAGCTTGCGGAACTCGCGCAGCAGGCAGTCCTTGTGCCCGGGGTCACACCTGGCTGCAGACAGGCTGGGCCGCGGGGCACCTGCAGGGGCCTCCTCGGCAGTCCTGGGCTTGGCTGCCAAAGAACACCACAAGTTGGTTTTGTAACCACACGGAGCAAATGTTGAAGTTACCTCTGCCTGGCAAGGTGGGAACAATCCCAGCGTGCTGGCAAAGCTAAAATTTAGCACTTTCATAAAAACCTTCCAACTATTTTTACCCTTTACATTACACCAGAATTTCCTAGATCTTAATTCTACCAGAAAAATATGACTAAACCATGGTGAAAAATAATTTCTCCTTCCAGATGCCTCTGCTTTATCAATTTTTTTTCTACTTTACAGGCTTTTGCCCTTGAAAGCAAGACATTTCCCTAAGGTAATTTCTAAAATGGGGGAATACAGCCCCATCCCCTTTGTCTCCTGACACCAATCCCCTACAGGAGCTGATGTCTTTGGCTGTGCTGTGGCTCTGGGCAGCCTGGAGCTCCAGGTGGGTGTCAGAGCAGTCAGAGCTCACAGATGGACTGCCCTGCTGGCAGCTGCTCCTCAGGACAAGTTTTCCTCTCCATGAAGATAACTGAGAATCCCTCAGCAGTTTTTTCCAGATTTTGAGCTCCACATGGGATAACTTTAGGCTACACCTTCAGTTTGGCTGGAATGCGAGCCAGTGGATGTAGGGATGGAGTCAGCCTGACAACGTGGGTCATGGCAGAACCTTTGTTTCCTTGGGAAAACTGGAAATCCAAACATTTTTCAAGGTCTTCTTTTGAGACTGCCAGCCTAAGAAAGCACTGACAGCTTCTGACAAACCAGAACTAAAAACCCCTAAATCATCTACAGACAAAAACCAACCGATCTGGCCAAGCTAAAACACCTCTTGATGCAGAGATTAAAACAAACTGATTTCCCAGAACTAGTTTCTTAATTCTTACCAGAGAATCCAGAGAATTTCTTTGGTGGATCTTTTGTGGTCAGCTGTCCTGTGGGAGTCAGTTTTGCCTGCACTATCACCTTTTTCTTCGGGGTACCTCCAGTCTTGGAATTGGCTTCTGGAAAGCAGAAAGGTTCAAGAGGCAGTCAGGAATAACCTCATACATCCCTCACCATATTATATAGTTTACAAAGCAAAAAGCCTTAAAAGAAGTGGGAATTGGAGGAGAAAAAAAACCCAGATTTTTTTTCAGGTAACAAAAGTTAGAAGAATATGTAATTTATTAAAGATCACAGAAAAAGGTGGAAATGGAAAATAACGGATGCTTCCTCATGGGTTTTATTTTCCCATGAATTTAATCATCTGGGCCTTGTCCACAATCAGTTGTGACAAATTAATCAAGGAGTGTCACTGTAGAAGTGACCATTTCTGCCCTTTCCAACAGGGCTGAGACAGGGATTGGAGCAGCACCACACGCTTTATCCCTAAGCCACACAAATAAATCCATGAGGATTTCATGGCAAAGGCAAAGCTGGGTGACAACCTCCAGCATAACTTGAAAATAAGGAGAAAAGCGACCCTGGCACTGCCTTGTGCCTCACCTGAGATGTACTTGTTGATTGTTTCTTTCTCCTCATCCTGCAGCTCTTCCCACCCCTCCAAATCTGTGATGTCCTCGATTTTCTTGGTGGTGGCCCGGGCCTTGTCCAGCTTCTCAAAGATGCACTTGACATGGTACCACTCCTTCATGTCCCCGCCGGACTCGGTGAAAGGATTGGGAACAATCTTCCCGATGCGCACCATGCCCTTCACGATCTTCTCCTTGCACTTCTTGCACCCCGCGGTGCCGCGCTTGGCGTAGTCCACGCAGTACCGCTGCTCCGCCATGCCCGCGGCCGAGCGCAGCCAGCTGCCCAGCAGCAGCGACACGGCGAACGCGGCAGCCCCGCGCTGCTGCGGGGACGCCGCACGGACCGGCAGCTGCCAGCAGCACGCGGGGCGGGCCGCGGCGGGGCGGGAGAGCGGCCTGGGCGAGGGGAGCGGGGCGTGAGGGCAGCGCAGAGCCGCGCCGCTGCCGAGAGCGCGGGCGGCGTGTGACAGCGTCCTGCCGCCCGCGGGCATCCAGGCCGTGCGGAGCGTGCTGCGAGCGACACGGGGGACACTGAGCACCCTCTGCCCGCCGGCACCCAGCCCGCAGCCCGCAGCCCTCAGCCCCCGGCCCGGCACCCGCGCCGCCTCACCGCCCCGCGCCCTCACGGCCCCTCCTCGCCCCCAGGCCGCTTTCCCGCGCTGCCCGCCCCGGCCCAACCGCCGCCTCCCGCCGCCGCCGCAGGCCCCGGGCCGCCCCTCCGCCGCTCACCGAGCTCCTCACGGTGCCGCCATCCCGCTCCCCGCTCCGCCCGGACCGCCGGGACCCCCCCAGCCCCTCAGGCCGGGGCCGCCGCCTCAGCCGCCGCGGGGACACGAGCGCGCCGGCCCGGCTTCCGTAGAGCCACGCGCGCGCGCGCGCGCCGCAGCGGGCCCCGCCCCTTCCTGCCCGGAGAGCGGCAGAGGGGGCGGACGCGCGCAGGCCACGCCCCCTCAGGCTCCCTAGCCCCGCCCCCAGCACGCGCCGGGAGCGTTTTCCCGCCTCGGGCCGGCTGGGGCGGCACCGGGAGCGCGCTCAGGGCCATGGAGGGTCCGTGCCCTGAGGCGGCACCGGGAGCGCGCCCGGGGCAGGGACTGTCCGTGCCCTGAGGCGGCAGTGGACCCGTGCCCTAGGGCGGCACTGGGACAGCGCCTGGGGCTAGGGAAGGTTGGCACCGTGTCCGTGCCCTGAGGCAGCGCCGGGTCCGTGCCCTGCGGCGGGATTGGGACCGGGAGCAGAGGTGGTGCCGGGTCCTCGCCCTGGGACAATGGATAGTTCCCCCTCCATGAGCCGATGGAGGGTCTGTGCCCTGAGCTGGCAGCGGGACAGCTCCTGAAGCGATGGAGGGTCTGTGCCCTGTGGTGGCCCCTGGTCTGTGCCGTGGGGCGATGGGGTTCTGCTCCCTGAGGCCATGCAGGTCTCTCCCCTCAGGCAGTCCCCGGGCTGTGCCCTGAGGCCATGGTTGGTCCCTCTGCAGGGGTGGCTCCGCTGCCGCAGTGTGCCCTGCCCTGAGGGGATGGTGTATTCCCGACCTCCCAAAGCTGCCTTTTCCCGAGCACTGCACCCAGCTGAGGCAGCTGTGAGGGCTGCCCTGCTCCTGGCTGAACCACACTGGCTCACCCAGAGTGCTGTGCTGCGTTAACAGAGCTTTGAGGTGTTGTTGGATCACCTGGCCACAGAAATGGTCCCTCCAAGAGTTCTAACAGTGTTTGTGCACTGTCTTTTCCCCAGCCTCATGAAGCTGCCCCTTCAGGAGTGCTGTGCTGTGTTGGTGCAGGTTTGGGTGCTGCCATGTCACCTGTGCCCTCTGTACCTGCACAGGCCTGAAGTGCTGCCCTATAACCTGCCGAAATTGTCCTTTGCACTGCGTTTGTGTGGCTTTGAGGTGCTGCTGTACCACCCCAGGCTCCTGAGGACAGCCCTTCATCCCAGTGCAGGTAACACACGCCTGCAGTCCAGCTGTTGGCTCTCTGCTGGTGGCAGCCACCCCCGTTCCTCTGATGGAAGTGCTGTTGTGCTGTGCCAGGAGGCTGGATGGATGCAGAACACAGCTCCACTGGATTGCTGCCTTCAGCCATGGAAAGGATGCTGTGTGGGTTGACATGGCCAAGTCTCTGACCTGCTTTGCTGTATCTCTGAGTATGAGAAATAAGGTACAGAATTTGCTTCCCCAGCCACATATCTGTCTTTTTGTTGGCCTCCAGCTGGTTGCAAAGCAAGCTACAGGCAGTCTTCTCTTCTTCCCAGCACATCAAACAAACCACACTGTTTGGAGCTGGGAGTGAGTGTAACAATTGTCCCTGGTCACAAACTGGGATGAAATGTGACTCAGGCATTTCTGATCACTGTGATCTGGCTGTGAACACAGAGTCTGCATTTGTTTGCAATATTTTACATTGCAATATTTACTCACAGACAGTGCATTAATTCAATCCATGACCTCAGGATGGAAATGCACCTTCCTGTCCCTCCTGGCCCAGGAGTGAAGGAAACTCCAAAACCAAAGAGAGAAACAAGTTTCCCCAGCCAAATCCAACTGGGAGCTTTGAGTCACAGAAGAGGAATTGCAGAAGGATTCAGAGAGGTCTTCCTGCTGTGGACTGTATGTGGAAAGCACCCAGACCACCACCACGCTCCAGATTTTTGGCTGAGTGCATTGAGCTCCAAGACCATGCATTTGGCCAACTCAGATTAAAATTTTAACGTGTGAGTTTAATGTGATTTGATTTTTAGTAGTTCAGATTGCTTTGAGAAATGATTTACAGAACCAGCAGTGGCTGGGTGCAAGAGTTTGTGTGAACACTGTGATTTTAGAGGGGAAGAGAACAAAACCCAGGTAGGGATGAGGGTTCAGATGCTGTGATGTGCAGTGTTCTGAGAGAGCTTGTTGGGAGCACAGAGTTCATGGCACCATGGTGAGATCTCCCATTCACTGTGAGCCTGCTAAAAGGGATGGAAAGGCAAAGGCTGACACTGCAGCACATCATGATCAGGTTTAAATAATACATAATAAATTATAATATATAATAAATAAGGCAGCTGAGCAACCTGGCAGTGGTGGGATCTGCTGCCCTAACTGTCTAAAAGTCGGCTAAATGAGCTAAACTCATTTTAGCAGATGACTAAAGGCAGAGCCTTCAGACTAAAGGCCTTCTTCAGAAAGCAGAGAAACATTTCAGAGGCCTCAGAGAGGGTGAGATGAATTGCTCCTGGCTCTTTTCAGCCTGCAGGGTTTGGATGGCAGCAGGGACAGGAGGGGAGTCGGAGGCTGCCCCTCTGCAGGGACTGCAGATTGATGGCCTGGCAGTGAGAGATGCAGCGAGCACAGGCAGGTGGCAGAAGGCTGCCACGAGAAACTGGGAGTTTTAGATAAATTTCCTCTCTGAGAAACACACACGGCTGCTGTTTGGTTGCTTTGGAGAGGCCTGGGAACAACAGCAGCAGAGCTGGTGCTCTCTTAATGCCAGCTCTCCTCCTCTTGAGCAGGAGATGAAGACTCTGCAGCCCGGAGCATTAATTCTGCTGATTTTCTACTGTGGCTCCAAAGGAATTGGTGGAAAGTTGAAACTTGCTTCTTCATAGAATCACAGAATGGTTTGGGTTGGAGAGGACCTTAAAGCTCATCCAGTTCTACCCCCTTCCACTGTCCCAGGCTGCTCCAAGCCCTGTCCAACCCAGCCTGGAATGCTTCCAGGGACAGCTCCTGTGGGCACCCTGTGCCAGGGCCTCCCCACCCTCACAGGGAGCAAATTCTTCCCAATATCTGCTGTAAATCTACCCTCTTTCAGTTTGATCTTGTAGTCTTTTTTGTGGCTAACAGCTCTGAGATGGCATTAAAAAGTGCTAAGAAAGTTTCAAGTGGCCTATCAGGCCCTGATTTTGGTCACTGCTCTTAAATGTTCCCTGCAAGCATTTTCTTCCCCTGAAATTGCAATGTGAATCCACTCTTCTTATTGTGGGTGGGAAGGTTTGCAAGGGGAATAATTAAACTTTGGGTTTTAGAGTCTTGCTGAAATAAACTCCTCCAGCTCCCCCTTTGGCCAGATGTACCTTCAAACAGCTGTGAGCAGAACAATAAATCCAGTGAATATATCCACAAAACCACAGGACACTGAGTTCACTGAGGGAAAACCAGGAGACAAATCCCTGCTGCTTAGCAAAGAATCAGGGAGAAATCAGGGCTGGAGTCTCCCTTGGTAGCAAATACTGGAATTGCTGAGCTGAGCCTCTTACCATAATGTGCTCTCTATGTAAAAAAGCAGCAGTGACAGAGCAGCAGAGGCCCCCAGAAAGCAGAACTCTGTTTAAAGTAGTTTATTCCACTAATACAAAGAAGATAATGCCCAAAAAGTCAGATTTAAATGTTTGTCTTTGCTTAAGCCAAGTGGCCATCAGGAGTTCTGTCAGGAATTAAGATATATATGAAAGCAAAATAATGGTCTCAAGTTTTGCTTTTAGGGTTTTTCCTCAGTGTTAAGAAGCAAAAAACCAAATGTAGCTTCATCTTAAACTAGGGTTGAAAATAGTTCATAAAAAAAGGTTCACCTTGTCCACATCTTCTAGGGATATCTTAAATTAATGGAGTTTGAACTAAAATTAAAGTTTCCTTGCAAGACTTCTGTCAGAGTTATATTCCAATGAATCCAATCTTCTTGGTATTGAGAAAATGTCTGGAATCTCACTAAAATCAAATAAAAGGAGGGAGATATTTAGAATTTTAATAACCCCAATGAACAAATATATCTCCCTCTGTGGCTGCTAAAGAAGATACTGAATCTGTACATGTGGTTTTATTAAAATACAAGTGATAAGAGAAATGGAAAAGATTATAGGAAACAGACATATAGACACCAAATACATTTGGCAAAAAGGGAAGGCATGTCAGTTAAATAACAGATCAAGAAGCCATGTAAAATGGATTTGTAGAGCTCAGTATTAGTCACTTATTTGCATTTATGTTCATTGGTAAGTCTGACTTTAAGAAGGGCTTGGAAAGGAAAGCTCCCCGGTCCAGTCTGAAGGGATTTGCACTGTTCTCCTTGGAGAGGTGGCTTGCAAGGCTTCCTTCTGCCTTGTGTGGGGGTGAAAAGTGGAAGCTGGGTATGACAGGAGTGAAATCTCTTACAAGCCTTTCTGCTCCCTCACTTTGCTGGGGAAGGGGGACAATATAACCTGCTGTGAGTTTAAAAAATAATTTGCTGTTCTTCAGGTCCCAGCTCTGGGAACAGTAAGAGGGACTGGATGTGATCTAAGGTGTAACAGTGAAAATTTGAGGAAATCTCAGAGGAACAGCTGTTCCCTGCTGCAGGGCATGGACCAGGTGTTCCCAAAGAGATTCACCTTTCCTTCCCTCCTGCTCTGTTCTCCAGGGCCTGTGACACAGAGCCATGGAGCTCCTCTGCATCCCTGCTCCCATTGCAGTGACATCCCTGCCTAGGGCAGTGACAAAAAGATGACAATGAATGCGGTGTTATCCTAAAATCGGTCTGTGCAGCCCTCTGTGGAGGAGACAGTTTTGGAATGTGAACTTTGTCCTTTAATCCAAACATAGCAAAAGTCTGTCTCTGCCCTCCCTCTCACCACATCTCAGCTGTCTTTTTGGGGGAACATTTTGACATTTGGTACATGGACATTAGGAATATCAGAGTGCAGAAAAACAAATGGGAAATTTGTCATTTCTAGTGCAGATTGCCCAAAGAGTCATTTAACAGCCACCAAAATAAAAATGTGTCAGATCTTTCCAGAGGCACTGAGGAGATGCTCATGCTCATTTGCTATTAATACTAATGAGAAATGAGTGTCCAAATCACTTGGACAGGTTTTGGAAAATCTCAGCTAGATACATGTCTTCCTGGAGGAAATTACATTTGACAGGAGGC